TGACATGAAAATTTAACTTTAACATTTTAAATTTAATTTTTATTTTTTAATTCTATTTAACAGACAGTTTGTAACCTAGTTAGACATTTTACCTTTTACCTTTTATTCCCATCATGTCCAGCTTAATTAAAAGTCCCTCCTTCCGCAACATATCATATTCAGACAAACACTGACTGAACTGAAGGAAATTAAATGCAAACACAGATGATGATAATTAAGTGAACACAGGTGACACAGATGAACCGATAATGGCGGTGATGAAGACAGTGAAAACTGAAGACAGGCAGACAAGTCCAATGAAAACAAACTAAACAGAACACAACTGTGACAGGTAGTTGCAGATAGTACATTTTTAACCCTGGATACTTGAAGAGACAAACGTTAAAGAAACAAACACACACATACCATTACTGGTTATGGGTTGACAATTCAGATAAAAATAAGCTATTTATATCTTATGAGGTGCTAGACATGTTCTAGCACCTCTGCGACTCTGATGCATTATTCCTGGTTAACTTTTTTCCAGCCCTTGCTAATGGTCAACATTACTTGAAAATTACAAGATATAGTTTCAGTTTAATATGATCATTGACATCAAATTTCAGTTAGTTAGTTGTTGTTCTAATTCACATACAGTAAGTTGTGATAATAAGAATACATTTTCCTTGAGCACAAAATCTATATATTAGCGTGATTTGAGAAGGATCATGTGACACTGAACTTGAGAAGACTGTTGTAATTATGCTGACATTTCTGCTTTGCCATCAAACAAATAAATTACATTTTAAAATGTATTAAAATAGAAAATAACTATTTAAATTGTAATTATATTTCACAATATTAATTTTTTAAGGTGTTTTTGGTTAAATAAATGCAGTCTTGGTGAGCAAGCAAAATGACTTGAGAAAAAAAAAACTTTAAAAAAATATATAACAGTTCCCAAATATTTGAAGTGTACACATTCCTGTTCTGTATTATTATTATTATTATTGTTATTATTATTTATTATTATTATTATTATTATTATCATTATCTTTTGGCAGCTATTTATAACACTTACAGGCCACCAAATGCATTGCTTTATCTAGCAACTTTCATCCTTCCAAAATGACACAAAGCATTTTCATTCCTCAGTAACCTAGGCAACAGCCTCACAACTGATCACCAGTAAATACCTCATGCCTTTTAAATAATGTTACTGTACTTAGCCCTTGACCTCAAACCTTTACACCTCCAGTTGTGTCTGCCAAAAAAAAAAAAAAAAAAAAAAACAATGACCCCTCAACCTGTCTAATGTTCTCCAGACTGTTGTTACAGTGTGAGCTCATTAATACTTGCTTTAAACAAGGTTTTACTTTGTTTTAAGAGTGTGTAAGTGCTTGTGGTGTATGTTCTTAAATGATAACACTTAGCTCTGGCCCTATCGATGTAAATGGCGAACAATGAGAGTAATGAACATCATTAATAATGAGAATAATGTGTCTGTGTGTTCAGACCATGCAAATGTTGTCTCATTCTGCTCCCTAGTTTCCTTTTGTTAATATATTGTGAATACTAGCAAAGGTCTCGATGCCCTAAATATCAGTGACACTGATGTCTGACATATTGTCTTCATAAATTTACACCTGCTATCACCCTTGACTGCTTGGATTGGATATTTTATAAATATCATGGTGAATATTTAGACATGAATTCTGGGAATTTATAGTGAGCAAATGTCTCTGACAGTGGGACACTTCTAAATAGTTGACTCCCTTGTTATTATGGAGCAACTAAAACTTGTTAAACCCTGCAAAACAACCACTTACAATTTTTTTTATGGTGATAATCTGAGTAATGGTTGGACTTTAGGAATTCAGTATTCAGTTGGGTTTTCACATTATATTTGAGTTAACAGGCAGGGGACAATCATTATTGGTGTTACTAAAAACTGCTGAAGGGTTTTCCTGCAATAATCTACAACAATATCACATACATCATTCTTTCTCTGGCAGGGTTCATTCATCAGTTTAACACACGAATACCATCTAATGGAGGCTAATGACTTGTTGAATCAATTAGGAAACGTACACTTCATTTAAACTTGACAAAGCAAAATAAACCCTGCCTGAATAAGGTTATTCTGGAAACAGCTTTCCGACTCATTTGTTGAAGAAACAAACCCAACTTAAAATATTCCACCAACAATCAAATGCTGTGTGAATGCAGTAGTTCCTGTGCATGTAGCTGCTAGTCAGTTGTTAGCAACACTTTTTACCCTCAGGTCAAGAAGGGCCTCTGGGTATAGAAAGATCCACTCATAATTAGTTTTAAATGATCTAAAATGAATCACCTGCTCTTAATTTGTAGTGGCATTCTATTTCCCTTATTATCATATTGATGAAATTGGGCTGCAAATGTGTGTGTGCAGTATCAAATGACTTCAGACAGAAATAAATTGACATACAATTATTTGTTTACATGCTATAAAACCCCCTTCACAATGTGCCATTAGACATCCATTCATACCTTAATTCATTGTAGAAGTTTTTCATTCATTGTAGAAGTTGCCTAATGTTTATACTGTATGACAAAGTTTGTTCACCACACTCTATTTAAAGAGAAAACATGTTTCAGATTCCGTTTGCCTGTCAAATTACTTTAAATATATTTTGTCATTCAGTTTAAGCCAAAAATATTAACTTATTACACTGCATTAATTGCAGTGGCACCCCCCTCGGTTCAACTCACGTTCCGGTTCAAGTCAAAATGAGAGAAAGGGCACATTACTATTAAAGGGGCAGGGACTTGAGCTTTTTTTTTTTTTTTTTTTTTTTACATTTTTGTACATGCAAAATACAATTTTAAAATGTCTTTATAAGACAGTGGAAGAAAATCTCTTTTCAACAGGCCTGATTCTGGAGGATGGTGCTCTCTTTCATGTGAAGAACTTATGTATTTTTCATTGAGTTCATGAGTCATCTTTTTACTGAGCTGGATAAAGGCGTCATAATTTATATATCTGGAGTGCACTTATAAACCCCTAAATAAGCATTTTTCCTCCGAGCTCGAGGCTCCCTGAAGACTTTAAGAACACATGTAATGTGATGATTTGACTTAGAATGACAGACATACAGCAGAGAGCAGAAGAGTGGGGGAGCATGAAGGCCCATTTGCTGGAAAGTTTGAGGACATTGACTACAAATAATATAAGACATTGGGTTAGAAAGAGAAAGAAAATATTATTGCAGTTGAGTGCTTTGGAGTTGTTTGTGTTCTTTGAGGGTTTGGTGTCACGTCTCCAAGTGGATGTGGTTTCTGTGTGAACTTCCCGTGTCCTTCCTTTCTTTCTGTCTCTTTCTCCGTCTTTCCCCCTCCCTTAGCCCCCTTTTTCCACAGAATATGGGCAAGATACACTTGCAGAAAAAGATTATTAGCAAAAAATGTACCTTTATACTTGGAAATCTTTCCAATTAATTAACGAGAAGTAAATCGTCTAGTCTGAGATGTCATTCTCATTTACCTGAATTAAAGTTTATTGACACATTTTCAGGTTTTTATATCTAAACAGAAGGTGTTTTGTTAATTTACTTCAGCGATTTTTGACAAGGGGGTTTAGTAGGAGGCCTCAGAAGACTTCACAGGGATGCATGATGACTTTAAAATCATTTAAGTTAATTATATCAAAATAATCGAAATTAATTAAACAAAGAAAATGTAAATGTAAACTGCAATCATACCCACTGCGTAATGTGATGTTAGAGTGACGTCTTTTCGATGTAATTTTTGGACGTCCAGTTTCGGTCCAGGGGTTGTTTTGTAACGCCAGGCAACGTCTTTATTCGACGTCTTTTGCACGTCTAATATTGACGTCGGTGGGACCAAATGTGGTCGTTTGTGGACGTCTTTTCAACATCAAATTTAGTATCTTCTATAACTTCTATAACTGAAGTCCCATTTTTCAAAAAGGTAGAGGACATTTTTAAAGGATGTTATCTGTACCATGTATTTATATTTTTGCATTTGTCAGATGTTTTTATCCACAGTGACTTACATTGCATTACACATTTACATTTCTGCTTTCCCTGGGAATCAAACCCATGATCTAAGCATTATACTAGGTGGCCGTTTCACAAGCGCCAACGCCAAGGCTCTATGTTTGAGCTACAGCATTACACCTTTGTATGTGTCAATTATCACCTTCTGCTTAAGACAATCAAATGCAGTTTTTGGAAAACTATCTTAAATAATTATAAATAATCTGTATTCATATGTATTAATTATGTTGATAACAACAATATTGATATTTGTAAATAAAAAAAATATTGCATATTAATCATGTAAATTTCCTGCTCCTGTAATAGACATCCAAATGAGGTCCAAAAAAATGACCCACTTCAACGGTCAAATGTTGAACGTCAAAATGACGTCCAAATTGGGTCATGGTTGGACGTCCAAATAATGGGCCTAGTTTGGACGTCGAATAGATGTCCAGAATTGGTCATGGACCATCTATTCGACGCTTAGTGTTTAGTGGGTATCTCTTTTTATCATATAGATTTATAGATTTATAATATAGAATTTTATTATGCTTAACTTTTTAAGTACAGGGAAGTACTTTTTAAGAACTTTTTAAGTGTGTGTGTGTGTGTGTGTGGGGGGGGGGGGTTGCAAGCAGCGTTGCCATAATTACAGCAGAAATTCTGGAGAAAATATAATTCAAAAAGGCTCTGTACTGTAAGTTTCCTACAAATATGATTGCTGGGCCTGACCACCCTGTAGAGATTTATTTTGTGATAATTATCATTAATCAAAAAAAAACAAAAAAAAACTGACCACTCAAAATCAAATAGTCCTTAGGACAGTGTAGGAAGAAATAATTATTTTAGAATTTTTCTTACAATGAAAGCTAACACAAACGGTAAATGACATCTTCTGCAAACTTTTGTGATCATGTTAGCTACTCATGTAAAATATTTTCTAACATTCTTTGATTTTCTGTTCTCTTCTCTAACCATCAGATATTATAGTGCTGATTGCATCTGTTGCTGTGGTTTCGGCGGGGAGTCAAAGCAACATTTTTGCAACATCTGCACTAAGAAGCTTAAGGTTTTTACAGATCCTGCGAATGGTGCGCATGGACCGCCGTGGAGGAACTTGGAAGCTTCTGGGATCTGTAGTTTATGCACACAGCAAGGTAAGTTTATGGATAAGTCATCATCCAGAATTATCTTGGCAATAAAGATCTTGGAATATGTCAAAATCACACATTGTTTAAAAGCAGAAACCCCTGTGTATTTTTGTACTTTTGTTACTATTTTCCTGTGGTGCAGATATTCTCTAAATGTCCTCAGCGTCTGCTTCTCCATCTAATAGGAATTAGTCACTGCCTGGTACATCGGATTCCTTGTGCTCATCTTTTCCTCTTTCCTGGTTTATCTGGTGGAAAAGGAGTTTAATAAAGACTTTGCCACATATGCTGATGCATTGTGGTGGGGCACGGTGAGTCTTCACACCGCACATCTCTGCACAATGGTATATTCTCTCTTAACAAATAATATTCTGACCTACAGTATGATGACGAGCTCAGTGGTGGAATGTAACGAAGTTCAAATACTTTGTTACTTTACTTAAGTACATTTTTCAAGTATCTTTACTTTACTTAAGTAGAATAAATAGTGCATACTTCTTACTTTTACTTCGTTACATTTTGCAGCAATTATTATACTTTCTACTCCACTACATTTCAACAACTTCTGTTACTTTTTCATTACATTTTCTGATCGTCTGACGTAATCTGACCGTCCGTCCGTTGCACGTTTGTCTCACCAGTGACGTTTGGTTGCCATAGATATATCAACCCGGTCACACTAAATGTGTCTCGCACGCAGTGCGTTTATCGTGCAATTTATACGCGAAAATTTGTTTTTATGTGCATAGGAAACGCACCGTGTGTAATATACGTTTGGTTAGGATTATGGCAAGCCAAGAGGTTCAGAATTACACCATAAATGAATCGCGTTTACTGCCAAACATAGTTATTAATATATAGTAAGGATAAGCATGATGTGTATATTGCCTAATTGCAAGCTTGTTTCAGAAATGGTGACAACAATTTTTTTCCATAATTATTGAACATCATTATAGGAGTATTGGGTGAAAGTAGTTAGAATTAAATGTTTTATTGATCATTAGAAAAAAATAGACATTAAGAGAATAAATTGTTATGCAAGTACTTTTACTTTTAATACTTAAAGTACATTTAAAATACTTTTTACTTAAGTATGGTTGTCATTGTGTTACTTCTACTTTTACTAAAGTAAATATTTATCTGTTTATTTGCACTTTTACTTAAGTACTGAGATTCAGTACTTCCTCCACCACTGGACGAGCTTCACAAAACAAGTTATTTATATCTGATGCGACTCTGATGCATTATTCCTGGGTAATTTTTTTCCGGCCCTTGCTAATGGTCAACATTACTAAAAAATTACAAGATGAACTAGTTTCAGTTTAATACGATCATTGACGTCAAATTTCAGTTCTAATTTCTTGTTCATTGCCTTCCACCATGTTTGGGAAATTGAAACCTTTTCCATAAAGGTTATACAGAGGCCCATTAGATTCCATTAGAGATGGAAAGTAATCATTATGGGACAAAATGACAAATGCCATCTCTGGTCTTGCTTAAAAGCCCTGGACGCTTCATAGAAAATACTTCAGGTTTCATAAAGATTGTTTCAACCCCAAAAGGAAAAGACAAAAAGCCACATACAGTATATACATAAGTGAGGAGATAAACCCATACAGATATACTGGATAGATAATCATTTAGATTTATGCTAATTTTACCTCAAATTACATCTGTCACTTGGTAGAAGCTAGCCAAATTAGTCTCGACAAGTTGCTTGACATGCCATCATCCTCAAAAACCATTAACAAAATTACACAAAGTAAAAAGAAAAATCTCACCTGCAGAATGGATAACATGGTTGATGTCAACAATATTGTGTTTTATGTAATGAATTAATGGTAGGTTAAGATTAAAAACAAGCATGAATTTTTAAAGAAACATTTTTTTTTTCCATTAATTAGATCACCCTCACTACTATTGGATATGGAGATAAGACTCCTAAAACCTGGACTGGACGAATGCTGTCTGCTGGCTTTGCCCTGCTTGGGATCTCCTTCTTTACTCTGCCTGCGGTAAACTGACACACATATTCTCATACCTTGTTACCTTACACTGCTTAATGTATTAATTCAGTGTTTGTGCATCTTGTCACAATAATTTGCACAATTGAAACAATTCCTAATGTCCTTCTTGGTTTCTAGCCTGCTCCACAAAATGAAATCTTATTCGTAATCTTATGTCGCACACAGCCATCCAGGGCAAGGACACAAACCCTGATGGTTGTTACATCCTGGGTATGCTCCCTCCGGGAAGACACTGTTGCACCGTACCTCGTCTCTTTCTCGAAGCCTTATAGGGCATTTGAGAATGTTTGTAAACAATAGGCACCGCAATACTTCCAGGAGGCAGAACGCGAGGGGCTTCTACTGACCAACCGAAGAGATCCAGCCGGCAACTGAACAGTTACAGTACATAGTTAAAATCATTATTGTTGACCAAAGTTGGCGAAAACGTGTTGTGTTTGGGGTTGCGCCGCCATATATAGCCTACAGCAAAAGGTGTAGGGTTTTTATCGATTTCCTTCAGAAAAAAGTAAATCTATCCAGCGGAACCTGTGGGTGAGGAGGTTAAAGCAAGTGGCCGTCGTCAAAAGTAGTGCATGTCGTCTTCTAATTATGAGCCTGAGCCCGATTTAAACCCAACCATTTTTAATACGTGGGTCGTTATATAACTGACGTTCTCAACTCTCTTACTTTCTATGTTACTTTCTCCCGCCCGCAACATTTATGTTTTGTCCCGCTGCCGCCCACAAACAGACTTTTTTTCTGTACCTCCAAATACTTTCAAGTTAGTCTACGTGTCGCCATCATACACATCAGCATCATCGCTCAACGCTGCAGTCATGTTCTAAAAAGAAACTCTGCCATGTAAATCATTTCTATTTTGTTTTAGTTGTTCTTGTTGCTTTTCTGCAACAGATGAATAAATATGTATTAGTTTTTATTTGTTTTATTCATAGATATTTCTAGTTTGTGGGAGTCCCGCAAATCGTTTTATTCTCCCGCAATCCACACACACAGAGTGAATGCATTACCGCCCGTGCTCGCACTCAGCCATCGATCTAGTCCTGTGCCGCGCTCTATTGCGTTGGGAGTGCACCTCTCTAGATCCCTATCCACAAGTTTCCTACGCCCCATGAGGCCTTGCAACAAAAGTGGGCGCGACTTCCGGTTTGAAGTAAACAATGCGCTACTTGACATGCTTGACACTCGTTCATTCAACAGTTGACAGTCATTCAAGTTATAGCGATCCAAACTAGCTAACGATGTGGGAACACAACCTCAACGAAATTCAAAAGGGTGAAATAACAGTACCTTTACCTCCGCAGTAGTTGATTGGGAGTATTATAATAACATTATTAATAATCAATACTCATCAAGGCATGTTGACAGACAGTTGTGCGAGCTGACAAACAATTAAAATAAAAAATACACACTTAGTCATTGTGCTTTGGAGTTTATTCAAAATTATAAATGAATGTGCTACTTGAATACATTAACTGGCACATTTGGTATTCTGTCAACACAGGCTTTGATCCTGAGTTTAGGTGTAACATCAGTAGTGAACAGCTAAACACATGCTGATAGAGTTTATAGAATATTAAGATTTTAAACAAATGTACACAGGAAGATTCGTTGTCTTTTGGGAGGTTGATGGAAACTTCAGTCGTTGGTAGGATCACTGTGATTTCGTTTTCAGCTTATGTTCAAAACAATCCCGTTTAAGCCACTGAATTAGTTTAGTCCGGTTATACATACAACCGCAAACAGCACATGTTGTCCCTGAGCTCCGTAACGACATCTCTCACAAAGATTTGCGTCTTTAAATAGTAAAATAATTCTCAGAAAAACAGCTAGCCTCTTCGCTAACTAACACACAAAATACCATTGGAATGCTACTTCCGCCGCCTCACCGGAAGTTTCACCCACTTTATTTTTTACATGAGCGCCCCTCGGAAACTTGTGGATAGCTCTAATGATCATGTTAACTATGTCTGAATTTCCACCACGTCTGTTTTTGAATCAACTGTTGAAATGTAGATTAGGCTACTGCCGACGGTGTGTCTCTCTCCAAGCAATTTACTATTGTTGCCATAAGGACGCTTAGGCTTTTGCCACCCGGAAGAACATCTATTATTGTTGAGACGTCATGGTGAATTGTCGTATTGGGACTACTCCCATTACCATCTATTACCATGACCCGTCTATTTATGGTTGCTGTGACACACTACGTCACCTGCATGCTGTTGGCCAATAGAATTGGTGTTTTTCCACATGTGCTTCAGACACCAGCTCTGGGAACCAGAATACATATGTAACTTGAGAAGTTTACAGTAGTCATATTATCTAATTCTAACCTATGGTATTACTGACATGGTTCTACTTCACTTGTATTGCAGGGCATTTTGGGTTCAGGTTTTGCCCTAAAGGTTCAAGAACAGCACAGACAGAAGCACTTTGAGAAGAGAAGGAACCCTGCAGCCTGCCTTATACAGGTTAGACACAAGAGTCATGAATCTTCCTTTACAATTGATGATATTGCACATTTTATGACAGAGAATTTTATGAAAAATGTTATGCCTCTACCTCAGTGGTTCTCAAACAACTGTTTTTTCCCGCTGATCTCAGGGCGCGCCAAACACTTTGGGTTTGAGAACCACTGCTCAAAGTAGAGTGCTGTTTTGCACTAATAGTACCATATGTTTTTTATGTACTGTTACTATGATTTGTGTCTGAATGCACACCAGTGGTTTTGTTGCCTGATAAATCTTTTATGAAATGTCTGAGGCTGGGGATAGTTTTACCTAACAGACAAATAGTTAGGTTTATTTCACAGCAAGGAGACTTTATTTGTTTGGACCAGTGTTTAGCTAGTTTTAATGTGGTTTAAATGTGGTTTTACCAGCAATTAAGAGTTGTAAAAATCTCCTAAATTTGTTGCAAAATATATTGGAGGAACTTCCCTGTTTGTGTGTTTGTGTGTGTGTGTGTGTGTGTGTGTGTCCGTGTTTGTGTGCGTGTGTGTGTGTATGTTTGTGTCTGTGTGTGTGTGTCTGGTGCATGCGTGTGTGTGTGTGTGCGCAGAGCATTGTGTTTCTGCTCACTATGTTTTATTCTCCTTAACCCTGAATAAGGCTGCGTGGCGATATTACTCCACCGATGGTAGTCGGCCTTACCTTGAGGCCACTTGGCGTCACTATGAGTCTACAATCCCTGCCCCGAGGCATGTATGGGTGCCTGCTCTGACCGAAAAAAAAAACCTGTGTAGTTTTTTTTACTAATCTGCTTTTTTTTTCTTTTTTCTTTTTTTTTTCCTTTTTCTTCCCTTTCTCTTCTATTGGCTCGTTCTTCTTCTGTCTTTTTCCTTTATCCCTTGTTGTTTTGGTTTTATATATTTTTGCATGTAGTGTGTGTGGCGTAGCTATGCGGCTGATGAGAACTCGGTTTCCGTTGCAACCTGGAAACCTCATTTGAAGGCGTTGCATACCTGCAGTCCTACAAAGTACGTACAACCCCCCGGCAGGTGCTATTCTATATCCTGTCTGTTCCCATGGTTCATTAATTTTTTCACAAAGGAATACTTTCCTCTTTTCCTCTATTTAGTTGTTAAATTTTCTCGTGTAACTTTATTGTGCCTGTCTCCCACACGGTCCATTTTTCTTCTCACATCCTCTTCATTTCAACATTCAAAAAACAACATGCCAGTTTTATGTCCATTTCGCATTAATCTGATTCTGATACATTCATTGACATTCACAAGAATCATTATAGACCAGGTTCAATTGACAATAGCAGGTCTAGGTCTAGCTGTCCATAAAATCACTGATTGCAGTTTCTCTCAAAATGAAAGGGAAATAAATGAAGCGAATGGACAGTAATGTTTCTCTCCATTTTGCATTTATGCCAACATTCTGTTTTATAATGGCACATTCATGGATAAGGTGAATATGCAGTAGTTGTCCATCTTGGTAAATTAGCAGCACCTGATTAAGAAAAAGGTTTGATTGCCTTTGCCTTGACCATGAAATGTAACTAGACCTGCCGAAAGCATTACATTAAGCATACAGAGAATAAACTAGATATTCAGAAGGGCTCCAAATACATAATGGCAAATTTATTTGCTTGAGCTTCTGAATTCCTTGCAATACTCTGCATGTTTTGATTTGCATGTATATGCATTATGTTTTAAACCGGCTGTTGCTTTTGGTGCATTAGTATGCATGAAATATTTTATGATAAACTGGATGAATCTGAATTTATGGCATGTGTAGTTTATAAGAAGACTGTTTACTGTATATTAATTTAACATCTCACGTTTAAATATTTCTCTTTCTACATCACCTTTTGACTCCCACAGAAAGGATCAAGGAGAGTCATCTACAAGGTTTGTGTTGTTTCATATCCTATATATACTAGAAAATAAATTACATTTGAGACAGAATTTTGAAAATTGCTGTTGTTATACTAGTGTAATACCTCATTTGACCCCCCAAAAAATTACACTGTGACTTTATATCCCAAAAATGGGCCTTTATTTCTAGTAATTCAGACTATATTTCTAGTAATCATTAGTTCATATCTTCTAACTGTGACTTTATGGGCTCTATCTTGCTCTATCAAAGCGGGTTATTCCCCTCCACAGACGCACGTCACTTGTTCATAATGCTATTTTAAGCGCGCATGCTTGGCCATAATGTAGCGGAGCACAGCGCGCATACACTTTGATTCTCTCATCAACACAGATGCAGCAGTTTTTATTTTTGCTAATCATACATTATAACAAGGAAAAATATTAAAACATGAGGGAAATCATTGTGCTTCACATGAAGATTAAAACCTTATTACACCTTTTTTTAAGGCTAATTGTAGTACTAAAGGATCAGACCTGTTTGCCCAATAGTGGCAAGAAACATACGTATATAATGTTTAATTGACGCTGATGTGCAAGGGTTTCTCCCGTCCCCATACAACGTCACTTCTCTGTCTTTTACTGCCCTGACAAGAACGTCGGTCTCATCCATAGACAGTAAAAGAAGGTCTCATCGGCTGTGAACGCTCCTGGCGCGCGCCTGGTAAATTCGCAGTTATAATAACAATCCGTCATGCAACATGCGCACCTGCTCTTAAAGGGTATGTTGGATGGCGCTCTGATTGGTTTATTTCACGTTACGCCCAAACCACACCTATGAATAATGAAGCTACTTTCAGACCAACCTCTTTTAGATTTGCGCCAGGCGCAAGAGGCATTTATCCCGCCCACAAAGTTACTTGCGCTTTGCGCTTTGACACTTGCGTTTCAGATCGTTAAAATAGGGCCCTATATCTCAAAATGTGACTTCATAATTGGCAATATGACTATATATTTTATGATTGCAACTATTCCTCATAATTATGACTTTTTATCATAATGCAAATTTAAATCTTGTAATTTGACTTTTTACAGTTACAGTATATCAATTATGACCTTCTTTCTTGTAATTGCACGGCACAATGTTATTTAATTTTTTTTCAAAATTGCAAAAACTTATTATTGTGACTGTTTTATGAAACTTAATCTGGAAATTAATTTTCTACATTTTATTCTGGGGAGTAAACAGCCTTCCATATTTGATCAGTATTTCCCTCTGATGCCTGTTTACAGCAATCTGTTATTAAGCGCACTGATTTTTCATCCGACACATACTTTGGGCAGATGGAATACGAAATAGCAATGAATTGAGATGTTCTCATGCTTTCATGTTTTGTCACTTACCAGACAAATGTGATTACTGGGGGTTTGGCTTCAATTAGAGAGAGAAAATAATGGAGATGAGAAAGCCAAGTCAGACTGTTTGCAGGACTTCATTACATGCCAGTTACTAAGACGTAGTGTCATCAGTCCAGATAACAGAAAGTGCTAGTGGTGTCATTTGCATAATTACTAAGATAGAACTTCAGATTTTGCCATAATAGTATTTCCACCATGAACAAGGCCAGACAAAATCATTTCCACATCATTATGAATTTATTAAGTACAGAACAATTACATGACATTCATCCATTTGCCTTAGTGTGAACAACAGATTTCAAAGAGGTGTTTGGATGTGATGCTTCTGTGGGTTCTAACCTGTTTGTGTGAAACAACCATCCATCCTCTAATTTATGATGCACTACTCATCAATGACCAAGAGACAATGATACCATAATTAGCATAGTTGCTAATGTGACATTATTGAACAGAAGTGGATGACTCACTGCAGTGCTGCATTTTTGAGTGGCCGCTGACCACTGAGTCATACTCAGCTGTCCGACCTACACTCACCTAAAGGATTATTTGGAACACCTGTTCAATTTCTCATTAATGCAATTATCTTATCAACCAATCACATGGCAGTTGCTTCAGTGCATTTAAGAGTGTGGTCCTGGTCAAGACAATCTCCTGAACTCCAACCATTTTTGGGGTTTACAAAGAATGGTGTGAAAAGGGAAAAACATCCAGTATGCAGCAGCCCTGTGGGGGCGAAAATGCCTTGTTGATACTAGAGGTCAGAGGAGAGTGGGCCGACTGATTCAAGCTGATAGAAGAGCAACTTTGACTGAAATAACAACTCGTTACAACCGAGGTATGCAGCAAAGCATTTGTGTAGCCACAACATGCACAACCTTGAGGCAAACAGGCTAGAAGCAGAAGACCCCACCAAGTACCACTCATTTCCACTACAAATAGGAAAAAGAGGCTACAATTTTTGGCTACAATTCAAACAGTTTTTGGACAGAAGAAATGTTGCCTGATCTGATGTGTCTCGATTTCTGTTGAGACATTCAGATGGTAGAGTCAGAATTTGGCGTAAACAGAATGAGAACATGGATCCATCATGCCTTGTTACCACTGTGTAGGTGTCATAATGTGGTTTTGTGTTTTGTCATTTCATTTTCAGTGGTTCCCTGTCTATTAATTATCCCAGGTGTTTCTTAATTCTCACGCCCCCTTGTTATCTGGTCTAGCTTGTTTGTCCCTGATTATTTAAGCCCTGTGTTTCTGCCCTGTCTTGGTGAGTTCTTGTTTTATGTTGACTGTAAACGCCGGTGTTGGTTGTTCCTGTTCCGTAGTCCAGTATTCTGTCTAGTTTGTATATCTGTTAAATAAAGCGTGTGCTGCACATGGATCCAGCGGCTTTACCTTGTTTCAACTGCACTAGCAACGTTACAGAAGAACTCACCACATCGTGATCCAGCAGCCATGCCTTTCTGGAGTCCAGACGTCCAGATTCTTCTTCTCCGTCAAGAGAATCGGACCATAGAAAAGTACGTCGCGGAGTTTTTTGAACTGGCTCATCTCGCGCAAATGAGCACCCAGTGCTTGAAGATCTTCTTCCGCGGGGGATTAGAGGAACCACTCCGGTCTCTGCTGCCCGAACCTGATCCGCACAGGTCTTTCGAGTGGTATATCGACCTGGCCCTGTTGAGGAGCGGCTCTGCGTTTACTGTGGGTGCGGAGGAGAGCAAGCATCGAGAATCTGCACTTTGCGTCAGCCCAGTCGAGCCCGCGCTCCACGTGAACTTTAACGAGCCCGCAACTCACATCAGCCCAGCCGAGCCCTCACTTCTCGTCTGCCCAGCCGAGGCCGCGCTTCACGTGAGCCCCGATGACGAGCCCCGCGAGTGAATCTTCTCCAGTTCAAGTGAGTGAATCTTCTCCAGTTCAAGTGAGTGAATCTTCTCCAGTTCAAGTGAGTGAATCTTCTCCAGTTCAAGTGAGCGAATCTTCTGCAGTTCAAGTGTGCGAATCTTCAGGCCCAGTGAGACTATCATCAATTCAATTGAGACACCGCCGCAGGAGGAGAGGGAGGACTCGTTCAGTTCGCCAGGGTCCAGTAAGCGTACCTCTGTACCCACCTCTGTGCCGGCCCTGCCGGCCCCACCTCACCCTGCCGGCCCCACCTCTGCGCCTCGCCCTGCCTGTGCCCTTCAAGCTCTGTTCAAGCTGTGCCCTTCAAATCAGATGTGGACCTCGCCTCTTCCTGCTCCGCCCTGGCCTTCAGCTCGTCCTACTCCGCCCTGGCCTTCACCTCTTTCTGCTCCGCCCTGGCCTTCGCCTCATCCTGCTCCGCCCTGGCCTTCGTCTCCTCCCGCTCCGCCCTGGCCTTCGCCTCGTCCTGCTCTGTCCACGCTCTGCGGCCCAGGCCCGCCTTGGCTACTTCCTTGTCCCGTTCCCCTGCACGGGCCTGGCCCTCCGTCCCTCCCCCAAGACCTCCTCCGCTTCACCGCCCTCCTGAAATTTTGGTTGTTTTTATGGGCATCAGGAGCCCATAAAAGGAGCCCATATGGTGGTGTAATGGTGTAGGGGAAGTTTTCTTGGCACACTTTAGGCCCCTTACTGCCAATTGAGCATCGTTTAAATGCCAACGCCTACCTGAGTGTTGTTTCTGACCATGTTCATCCCTTTATGGCCACCATGTACCCATCCTCTGATGGCTACTTCAAGCAGGATGATGCACCATGTCACAAATCTCGAATCATTTCAAATTGGTTTCTTGAACATGACAATGAGTTCACTGTACTAAAATGGCCCCCACAGTCACCAGATCTCAATCCAATAGAGCATCTTTGGGATGTGGTGGAATGGGAGCTTCGTGCCCTGGATATGCATCCCACAAATCTCCAATGACTGCAAGATGCTATCCTATCAATATGGTATCCTATCTTTTAGCAACTTGTTGAATCAATGCTATGTAGAATTAAGGCGGTTCTGAAGGCGATAGGGGGTCAAACACAGTATTAGTCTGGTGTTCCTAATAATCCTTTAGGTGAGTGTATAATGAGTCAACTAGTCATTTTTTAAGTAAATATAACTAAAGATAAAACAATCTTTTGTAAAAACCAAAGTAGATACTTATTAAACAGAAAGCCTGAGTGTAAGACCAGCAAAAGACCAGCTTAGAGACCAAAAGACTAGTTTCTCTATAAAATTTCATGTTTGAAACCCGAAAAATGACCAACAGAAATGAACAACATAAAGTTGCTTGGGTAGAAAGTGACCTCTTTTATCTTACATTACATATTGACTTGGCAGATCATATCTGAAGAGGCCTTTCATAATGATATAGAGTTTATTTGACTGCATTTCTAATACTACGGGAGTCTAAGCAAGCAATGCAGATAAAATAAATGAATTGGCCTCTGCATGTTTTCTACTTAAAAGTTATACATTAAAGTAGAAATTCTTAATTGGTTGTAGAAAATTGTAAAGTAGAAAAGTTATACATCTACTTTTCTTGTACTTAATGGGTATTGCCTTGGCTCATGGCTGAAAGGAAAGTGCTGTTCTTTCTTTCACTCTCTCATTCTTTCAATTTTCCCCCCTTTTAGTCAGAAACTGAGTTTTAAGGACAGAGTAAGAATGGCAAGCCCCCGTGGACAGAGCATTAAAAGCAGGCAGACGTCCGTTACAGACAGACGTTCGCCCGGAGCTGAGATCAGCACTGATGGATCGAGTCCTGCCAAGGTCCAGAAGAGTTGGAGTTTTAATGACCGCACCCGATTCAGACCCTCTCTCCGTCTCAAGAGCCAATCACGGTCTACCACTGAAGGTGAAGGAAATTCTGATTGGTGGATTACATTGAACCACTATGTGCATTGAAAAAAATAGCTCTATACATTTATTCTATGCTGTCTATGTAGTGTAGAAACTAACGCGTTAATTAAGATTAATTAATTAGAGACTTTAATGCATTAATTAATTACACAAAAAAATTTACGCATTTTAATCGCACTTATGTTTGCACCGCGGAACATTTCTCACTGGATTAGTTTCGGTGGACCGATAAAACTAGCGTTCATGACTTTTTTTACAGTCTATGCCTCAGACAACTAAACATCAAACCGCAGTGAACATGAACGAAGAAGCTGGCGAGACTGCTTTGGTTGGTCCCGTGGATGGGAAATTTTGTTATAAAAACGAACCGATGGAAGCGTCATTAAGAGCATGGTTGTTGTGTGCAATCTATGCAACAAGGAATTCGCATATCACATCGACCCTCAAGTTTCACCTCGACGCAAAACATATACAATTGCACTGGTCTGTTGGACATGGTTGAACAAAAATAAACAATATTTTGTTGCTTAAGCTTATGTATTCAGTCATTATTCAATGTAATACTAAAAATCCATGTGAAAAAAAATCTTCTCACTGTTCTCAGTTCAAATATTTCTGCAATTAAAATGTGATTAATTTCGATTAATTAATTACAAAGCCTCAAATTAATTAGATTAATTTTTTTTTAATCGAGTCCCGGCCCTAGTAGAAACATAATGAAATTCAAGATGAATTAAGACAATAAAAATACAAATCTGATCATAAACGGTTATATATACATATATATATATATATATATATATATATATATATATATATATATATATATATATATATATTATTATTTTGTTTTGTTTGTTGAGAAAATATGTTTTAAATTTTACTAGACCAAAAAACTCAGAATATCAGGAGATAACAAATATAATTACAGTCAACCATGATGAGACATTAGAGAGCTTATTGACAATGTAGTTTGAAAATAGTAATTATTGACAATAGTAATGGTTATGTTATTAATTATCATAATATTTGGTTGTTACTAAAAATATATCTGTCCCTCTGATTGAGAGAGGGACCCCTTCCCCTCCCTCCCTTATTTATAGCAAATCATCAGTGTGCATAATTATGCCTTGTTGTGACATAATCATGAAAATTGGGTTTAAATAATTTTTTTTTCATTGGACCAGTGTCATTCAGGCAAGAGTGCAACAGAGGGTTGCAAATGTGATATTTCTTTTAAATCAAAGTTCAATAAAAAGGAGTTTATGTTGATTTGAACTTACATTTAAAACACAATTATCAATTACTTTATCTATTTGTGCTCCACTATAGAGAATAGTTCCAAATGAAACCAAAGCAGAATCAACCATTTCACATATCAAAGCAAAACCTTATTTTTAACATAAGAACGGGTGCTGCAATCTGTAACTTTAATGTGCCTGTTTTGCAGCTTGATATTGCAAACTGGTATTTTTTATAATGTTATTTTAATTTAGTAATTACTCAATTTGTTTTTATGACAATTTAGCCTTTTCTAATTGGATCCACATTTGTGTGTGTTCATATAGCGAGTGCCCCAAAAGGCACCAAGTTTCGTATAATTCTGATAAAGTGAAAAAAAAAATTGTCAGGCTGACTGAAGACCACCAGAGAAACATCCCATTTACAACCTTTAATCACAGAATTACAAGAATTTAAGTAGGATGTTTGATTTTTAAGTATTTAACAACAAACTTTGAAGATGTCAATTTGTACCTTTGGTGCAAAATACATACACTGAAAACAAAAAAATCCTGTTAAAAAAACGGTAAAGTACTGGCATCTGTGGTACCGTAAAATGACAGTGTGTTACTGTTTTTGAAACTAACAGCTAAATACTGTATTGTCAGTGTAAAACTTTAATTTAACAGCTATATGCTCTGACACAAAAACAGTAACAGACCGTGTAGTTACGGTATGATGCTAGCAACCACAGCTGCCAGTAGTTTACCATTTTTTACAGGATAATTTTTTACAGTGTAATGGCACACTCATATATTTTTTGAACAATCACCTATTATAGACCTATGCACCAGAGAAACGTGGACGCCGTCATCTTTAGAATATTGTCTTCGAACTTCCATTTTTGCGGCCGCTCTGTATATTTGTATGGCATCGCTGTCGAAAATTAGTATCATATTCATAACATGGTGGTTTGTAGTGCAAATAGTTTTATTGTACTTTGTTATTCTTCTAAAAATAGCTTTCTTCTGTATTGCAAAGTAAGGTGGATAAGAGTGTTACATTTATAAACTAATCATTGTTTTTAAACAAATCAGTTGAGAAAATTATTCAGTGACTCATGATATACTAAAAGATGATGTAACTATATTGAGCCAGCAGCCATATCACCCTGTAGCCCAAGACTGGTTGCCCATTAAAGCTAAGCAGGGCTGAGCCTGGTTAGTACCTGGATGGGAGACCTTCTGAGAAAGCCAGGTTGCTGCTGGTAGAGGTGTTAGTGAGGCCAGCAGGGGGTGCTCACCCTGTGGTCTGTGTGGGTCCTAACGCCCCAGTAAAGTGATGGGGACACTATACTGTCAAAAGAGCACCGTCCTTCGGATGAGACGTTAAACCGAGGTCTTGACTCTCTGTGGTCACAAAAAATCCCAGGATGTCTTTCGAAAGAGTAGGGGTGTAACCCCGGCATCCTGGCCAAATTTGCCCAGTAGCCTCTGTCCATCATGGCCTCCTAATCATCCCTATATACACCAATTGGCTTCATCACTGTCTCCTCTCCACCAGTAAGCTGGTGTGTGGTGAGCGTTCTGGCGCAATATGGCTGCCGTCGCATCATCCAGGTGGATGCTACACATTGGTGGTGGTTGAGGAGATCCCCCCTTCTATGTGAAGCGCTTTGAGTGTCCAGAAAAGCGCTAAATGAATGTAACGAATTATTATTATTATTAACTATATAACCTGCAGAAAATCCCCAGCAATAATACACAATCTGACTGACAAATAGAGTGATAAAAAGAACGAAAAGTCCCAATGCTGTTGTGGTAAATATCTGCACTGTAACACTGCTCATCCACTGAAATATGAGGACAGGAACTATATGGCAGATAAAAAAACAACAACAACAAAAAAAAAAACAATGCCTAGACAACTCCATCCACTCATTGGACTACACTGCTTAAGGCTCTGTTTACATCCCCTGTGAGAATAAGACAACTCGTCTGTTGTAAAATATGTATTATGTATAATTCAGACACATTAATGAATGCATATATAAAGGCATGGTATGATTTAGATGTAATCTGAAGTCTTTATACAAAGTGGGAAGGCTGTAAGGCACTTGATGTCATATACATTAAATCAGAACAGTTTAGTCAAATGTTTAATGAAAAATTATTACCTAACTTTAATTGTATTAATATGCTTGTGTCTTGTACTGTGTTGTTCTGCAGCCTGATGCCTTGTTTATACTCGACGCGTCCGCACGAGCGCGAGTTTCCGCTGACTGAGCGCGCACCTCTCCAAATGGACGAGGTGTTTACACTTGAGGTGCTCGCCGTTGTGCTATTCTGTGAAACGACAGGAGGCGAACTCGGAGTAATTCTCCTCTAAACCACCAGAAATCAGCAGTGAAGAAGTAGTTTGCCGTTTATTAGTAGTTTATTAATGGCTAATTCATAAAAGAGTAAATGCAGTAGGTTTATTGCAGGCTACTTTCACTGCATGTAAAAAACTGAAGCCTTATTGGAGTGTTTAAACCTTAATTTTACCAGCAGGGCTTAATTCTGCTATTGTAGGCTTATTTTGTAAATGTAACCAATTACTTTAGACAAGACGTGCAAACGAGGTGCGTAATGCAAATGTGTTCCTGTTCACAAAATGAGATTTTATGGTCGCCCATCAATGCAAATGTCTCTGTGTAGGATCATAAACATGCGGTACAGATCGTACCAGTTCGGCCAGATTCGGCTCGAAGTCGTACATATTCGGATGCGGCGACGTGCGCGATGTTATAAAAAGTGCCATGCACACCGCCAGGCGATATGGGGTTTTGCGCACCCAACACGCATGACCACCCACAACGCAATGACGTAATTTTTGCCGCGCACCCTTCGCGCTCTTGCGGACGTGTCGAGTATAAACAAGGCTTATCTTCTCGAAACTCTGGATTCTGATAGAGGGCACTGAGACTTACACCTGAGTGCAAAAATGGAGGCTCTAGACCCTTCCAGAGCTGAGATATCGAAACTCAAAAGACATGAAGGCCTTAACAAGCAGGGGCCCCACAAAAAAGCCTACAAGTATCCAGGTTATTTCAATAGTACAGTTCAGACATTCTACAAACTATAAATAGCTTTGCAACTACAGTAAATGTCAACTAACTCATTAATTTGCAACTACATGTCTACCAAATGTCTACTTTTTAATCGGTAGTTTGAATCTTAATTTTTAATATACGACAACCTGACATACCAACGCTATCTCACGACAAATTCGTACAAAGTTGTGAGAGTGATTAAAAAGTGGCTAATTCGTACTAATTCATACGACCTCACTCGTACGAATTCGTATGATTTGTCTAAACCCACGTAATGGGTTTAGGGGCGGGGTCAGGGGTAGGTCATTTGTACGAATTCAACTCGTAAAATATGTACGATTTTTTTTTTTTGCAAAAATGGTCGAGTGAGGTTGTACGAATTGTTACGAATTAGCCACCTCATAAAATTTGTACGAATTGCAGTGAGATCGGGTTGGACATACAGTTTAAAAACTTGATTACATGTATAAAGAGGCCTTTTCGGGGCCTTTTAAGGGGCACATTAGCATCCAATAAGTGGGGTAGTAACTTGTTGGAATTCTTCATTTAAGAATCGTCTTGCCTCTAAGCACAAAGTGCGAACCTTGATATTTTAGCCAGAACTATAAATTCCTTCCTCTGTAATACCCTTTGGTTGTAAATATCTTTCTCTTTTATTAGACCGATCGATTGCAGTCTCTCGAGTCAGCTTGTGTGAATTCTTTATGTAGCATAAAGCAAGCTGAATCTGCAACCAACACCACTTTTCCTTCTAGTCTCTGGTTTACATCATAGGTGTAGCCATAGATAGCCACTTTTAGTGCAAAAATGTGCTTCAATCTGGGTTCACCTCTTTAGAGTTCCCATTATGTATCTGGATTGCATATATGCACTCTTGAATGATTTAACCCATAAGAACCCGGACCAATTTCCCCTTATAGGAAAATTATGGGGCATATAAAACAGCCTAAATGGACCACTTTATGTTTCTGCTGTTGTTGTTTTTTTTTTTTTAAATACAACCACTCCTTGTCAAAGATCTGTTATGTTACATATATGCCACATTGGGCATTTATGATAATTTTTTTATGTTACATGTATGTCACATTGGGCTTGCATTTTTTATTTGGAAAAAAATACATTTTGTCAGTTTTCTTGCTAAATATTTTTTTTCTGTTTATATTTTTTTAAACATAACTTTTCTGGGAAGATTCTCTTCTCTTTTTCAGAAGTAAGATTTTTTTGCATTTTATTTGCTTTGCCACATATTTCAGAACCACATAACTGTGACCTTTTCAGGTATACGTTTTAATCAGAAATAATTTTTTAGATTATTTTGCAAACTGAATAAAATAAATAACTACCTAACACTGGAGGTCAACATGTTGAACATGCATATAGTGCAATAACATTGCAAAATTCTACCTTTTCAGGTATATGGTTTAACCTGAAATAAATTTTTTGATTATTTGTCACAAAACATTTTCAAAATACATTTCATTAAAGGGTAAACCCTAAACCAACTTTTTTTTAGTTAATGATCTGTAAGACTGGGGCTTTATTATTGCTACTCATTGATTTTTTTATATATATTGGGGTATAAAGTGTTTTAATTCTACAATATACGGTGTAAAAACTGCAGTTGAATTTTCCTTTTGGAAGTTGTGGTGCCCTGTGATGTAAGCAGGCACCAGCTAACCACGCCCTCTAGCCTACAGAGAGATGTGTTTCAGGTGCATGCCGTGGCAACAAAAATGCACATATTGTCACATGACTGAACCTGGTCATTCCTTAAATTTCCCTTAGGGAGTTCCTGGGTTGAAAGTGAGGTATAATGCTTTAACTTTCAAATGGTCTTCGTTTCCCGTTTACACTTCTGGGCTTCAGGATCTATACGACCCCAACAGTTGATTAATTGTCCAAAAAAATACATTTATAATCATACAAATAATATATCATTTTTTTGTTTACTTCTCATCTATTCATTAATGCTGTGTTTTTGGAGATATAAAGTACTTTTGTATCCATATAGACCATTTTGCAAGATGTAAACAACACTGGTCCAGAAGCACTTCCTGTTTCAGTTTTTTTAACACTACACAAAAGCTGGGATAAAATACAACCATGTAAAACTGAATCAAAAAGTTAAACAACAACTTTAAGATGTTTTCTTTACATGTGAAATAAATAAAACAATTACAAACTGAAACAGGAAGTGTTTCTGGACCAGTGTTGTGTACATCTAGCAAAATGAGCTATACCACACAATTCCTCAACTAAACCATTAGCTTTAGCATTAGCATATGAAATACAATTTTTTTATGATACATTGCATTTATGCTATTGTACTAGGCCTTCATTTCTGTGTAAAAAATTTCAGATTAATGCTGGATTTTTTTATTTATTTATTTTTTTGACAGTTTTTTTTTTTTTTTGTTTGTTTGGTTTTTTTTCTTCACATTTCCCATTCATTTCAATGTGGGGTCATATTGACCTCGAAGACCAGAAGTGTAAACATTTTTTGCTTGTTTACATACCTTCAGAACAACAGAATCAAGCCCAGTTTTTGTGTGTATAGATAGATAATGTATGATTATCTATGAAAGTCACAAAATCTTATTCCACTGAGATGAAGGGAACCTTTTTTTATTAAGTAAAAGTCGATTGGGGTCGTATAGACCCCATGACCCGATTAAGGGCTACAAAAACCTTCGTCACAGCGGGTTCTTATGAGTTGTACATACTCATAGAAATGTATTTGAGTAAAAGTACAATTCATCAGTTTCAATTCAAGTTCATTTGGACTGCAACTTTGTTAGTTTATTTTCATTTGCAAATGTTTAATTTTTAATTTTTACCTCTGATGTTGCTCTCAGATGTTGTTTTGATTAGATGCTCTTTTAATTATTATGTTTGCCTTTCTCTTGCTTATTACTCCTCCATTTTTTTTTTCAATTCTGACTGACTCTTTATTCATTATGTGCTGATGACTTTAAAATTTTCATTATGTTTGTCACAGGTGAGGCTAACGTTGGTGTCGATGAGGGTTTTGATGAGAAAGGGTGTCATTGTGATATGTCGGCTGAGGACCTGCCATCCGCACTGAAGACCGTCATCAGAGCAATGAGGTAGTCATTCTTTACTTCCCTTCATGCTGTAATATTTTAGAGCTCTGAGACATTAAAATTAAAGCTCAGCATTTCATGAGCTATCAGTGATTATTGAAATGAATTCACTAAAAGATAATTCAAAGCTATAAATTCTTGTGTGGCCTGTAGGCTAGATGCATAATAAATGTTTTTAAAGGTGAATTGTGTTCATTCTGTACCAAGCATGATTGCAAAATTAAAAAAATAAAAATCTTGAAAGTGCATTGGTCAGCCAAACAAATCACACCACTGGTTGAGCCAATGTTGCTATGTTGGACCAAAGTCTATACACTTTTTCACTTCTCTTTTGACGTGTCTTTTCACTTTTTGTTTTGAGCTGTATACTCCTGAATAAAAGTATAATATTATCATATGGTTCTGCAGGATCATGAAATTCCATGTGGCAAAGAAGAAGTTTAAGGAAACTCTACGCCCATATGACGTGAAGGATGTAATAGAGCAATATTCAGCCGGTCACCTAGACATGCTCTGCCGAATTAAGAGTCTGCAAACTAGGTAAGACAACCCAACTGCTGTCTGAACATGTTTTTCCTTATATGCAAACTATACTCTAACAATTAAAAGTGTGTGTTCTGGAAAATGCATTTATTTAATTTGACAAGAAATTAATACTTTTATTCAACAAGGATGCATTAAATTGATAAAGAGTGACACTAAAGACATTTATAACATTTTCAAAAGATGTCTATTTCTCTTCCATCACAGAATCCTGAAAGAAATGGTATCATAGTTTTTACAAAAAAATATTAAGCAGTACAAGTTTTCAACATTGATAATAATAAGAAATGAAGTGTTCAGATGCAAAAGCCTCTAAGTGCCATTTGAAATTTTCTTCTAGAATGATCATTTTTATCAAGCTTGTATATTTAAGTTCAGTGATTTCACTTAAATGGCAATGATAATTACCTATTAATTGTTATTTAAGTGAAATTACTGAACTTAAATATACAAGTTTGACAAAAATCATCATTAAAGAAGAAAATTTCAAATGGCATTTAGAGGCTTTTGCATCTGAACTCTTCAAATGTTTCTTGAGAACCAAATCAATGAATTAAAATGTAAATTTAGATCAGCATATTAGAATGATTTCTAAAGGATTATGTGAAATCAAAGGGTTTATTAGTGACCTCTACATCAAATTCACACGGGTAGGTCTGGTTCATTTTAATGCCATCATGTCGCATGTGTTCTGATGGCCCCGAGGCAGTGGTTCTCCTTGGTCATATATGGGTCACTGGGTGGTGGGGAGACCCTGAGGTTCTGCCAGACAATGCGATGTTGAGCGTTTAAGAAGCTATTGTATCATTATTACATACAAGTAATGTACCATTATTCGTCATAGTTATATTACATTATCAACTCAAAATAATCCCTGTACTCAAATATGTTCACTGTAATACTGCACACAGTATGGAAAAAATGTCAAATGTGTAAAACGTCTTAATACTCGCTATTCTTGATCGACCTGCAAATATATGGAAGTAAAATAATGACTAATGTCTTTGAAACAAAAAAGCATGTTAAATTGCACTTGCAAAAAAAAAAAAAAAAAAACATTAACAGTGCTTGCATTTTAAGGCATTTTTGGGGGCTGAAATTCAGCAGGGTTGTAGTTTTAATTTGTTCATATTAAAATGAAAACATTTCCTACACAATATCATTATTAAAAATTTAATAATCTGTATTCTCCTTCCAGACTAATCCCAAAATAGTCAGTTTGTTTAAATATTCCACCTATAATAGTCAAAGGGGCAATTTTCAGTCCATTTTATTTCGCTTTAAAAAATTATTTCAACAAATGAATTGGTTCAAATTCAGCAGAATATTCAACACTGAGTACAGATGCATAATCACCATCTGCCTTTAGCCATCTAAACAGTAGGTGATGCAAGCGGGTGTTAACATAGACCAAAACAAGAGGCAGAGTCATTCATTCATTCACAAAAACTTATTTACAAAAATGGAGCAAGTGGTAAGTATGTGTTATGATTATCATGGCTAGTATATGTACAGAAGGACATGAAAGCTGCATTTACGTTTAATTAAAAGTCTTCGCGATTACTCTTGTCCCAGTGTACATGTAAGATATTATTTCCACCGCAAAGGAGATTGAATGTTATTCACCATGACGCTGATGTGCAGACCAAACATTACATCTGAAAAAGGCTTATTGCTCTATTTCTGTAAATCAGTTTTTGTGATGAATGAATAGCCTTTGTTTTGGTCTTTGTCATCACCCTCTTGCACCACCTGCTGGTTTGGTGAACTGTGTATGCAATGCATTTCTTTTCTTTTCTTTTCTTTTTTTTGAATAAGTGCAATTCAAAAATGTTTGTTTGTTTCAGAGACATTAGTCATTAGTTTACTTCCATACAATCAATACTCAAATTACATTGCATACTGAGATTCTGAAGTGTGCAGTAAGTGGACACTTTGATAATCCTGTGAGATGAGATGCAGTCCACTTTTAAAAGTAAACAACAAAAAGGCAGACAATATGTCTTTATAAGCATCATAGTTCTTATGGGCAAAATGTTTTTGTTTTTTTTCCACTTTAAATCTGTATATTTTCATTATATTTCTTCACTGTAGCCTATAGTGAAGACAAACGATCAAGGTTTCAATGAAGTGAGACTAGTGCCACCATGTGACCAAAACTGGATATTACAATTCATGACATTCTTCATAGACTCTAAATGAACAAATCAAATGAGCTGTGAGTCTAATTTTGAATTCCTCACTGCATATTTCAGTGTACAAGATACATGATAAATTCAAATCTTGAATCCTGAATTATAGTAGCAGTTAAGTGTCATGGAATTAGTTGTGGGCACAGCTTGATGCCATTGACATTTTGTCTTTATTATTTTTTTTTTTTTCAGTTCTCTGTCTACTTATTGGGATGTAAATATTTTTGTTTTCGCATATTTAATTCCTGTCTCTTTCTGAAAATGTCTCTCTCACTTTCAGGGTGGATCAGATTCTTGGTAGGGGCCAGATGCCTGTGGATAAGAAGGTCAGAGAAAAGTTGTTATCTGATGGAGACATTCTGGAAGATGTGAGCATGTTGGGAAGGGTGTGTAAGGTAGAGAGACAGGTGAGTATAGAGACACTTGGTTAAACAATGCATTACACAATCCAATGTTTATTGAATCATTCCATCTCATTGAATCTGTGAATAATGCACTGGTTTTCAATATGACGGAAATGAGACAGTTTTTTTGTTTCAACTATGCGCAGTTTAGCTCTGTGCATGTTTAGAAAAAAGTCTCTTACAACACACTTTTTTTTCTGAAAGTAATAAGTCTCGTTTTTATTTTGAAAGATTACTTGTGTTTAAGAACATTCTGGGTGAAATTGAAAAAAAAAATGTCTTAACATTTTTTATAGTAAAATGGTCGTCTCCTTAGTATTGATAAGGGTTTTTTTATAGTTAGTGTTTTATCTATCCTAAATACACACACATACAATTTACGATTCAGGGTTTTTGAATGGAATTGATTCACAATACAGTATCATTATCCTGTTCAGAAAATCACCACCTATTTCTAATTCTAAGGCTCTATCTGCAGTTTAGAGATATTGAGCATTCGACTTTGCAGATTAAACCTTTTTTTTTCTAAATAAAAGTTCCCAAAATGTTAATAAGTGGTCACATAAAAAGAATATGTGAATAACTAAATTTTGACAAAAATGTAAGGTAGAAACTAAGGCGATGAATTGTATTTACTTTGATTGTTATTGTTTTCTTATGTCATTGTCTTATGTTTTGCTGTTTGTTTTGATTGTCATATTAAATATAATAATATTAAACCAGTGGTTCCCAAAAAAGGGGAACTCGGCACAATTCCAAGGGAGCCACAGGGTGACTAACAGCATTGAAATGAATTATTATGGTAACACTTTATTTCGATAGTCCACTTTAGACATTCTACAGTACTAACTATAAGTAACTTTTCAACTACATGTCAACTAACTGTCATTAGAGTATTAGTAGACTGTCAGCTTAATATCTGCTAACACTTTATTTTGTTGGTCCCCCAACAGACATTCAACTGACTATGAGTAACTTGGCAACTACAAGTAAACTTATTCTCCTAACCCAAAGCCTAACACCTAACTATAACCCAACAGTCTACTGACAGTCTATAATATACTATAATATAATATACTAATACTCTACTGAGAGTTAGTTGACACGTAGTTGAAAAGTTACTTATAATTAGTAGAACGTCTAAAGTGACTATCGAAATAAAGTGTAACCATTATGATTAACATATTGAAATAACCTAATTAAAGTGCTAAAAGCATGTAAAATCAATTTCCCTTCTAACTATTGTTTATATTGAGAAACATACAGTTCTTTAAACTTCCAGAATCTCAGAATGAATCATGATTAATTTAATATATCAATAGTCCCAGTTTCTGACGGTAAAAAAGTTTGAGAAAAAGCAGCATTCTGCTTTATGCGACATTAATGAGAACTCTCTAAATAGATTAGAATATTAATGGGTATGGCAGTGTTAAGGATTTGGGTATTTGCAGAATAGATCTGCTACAACGCTGCTGCAGCTGCTATTGTTGATTATTGCAATATAAGCTGCTGTGAACATGTAAGACATACTACTGCTGCACAAATAGCATACATGAAATGACCTGTAGCACATCTACACAGACACAGGTGGAACTGGGGGAGGTGGAAGGTTTATGATTGCTGTAAGCAATAGAGACTGTAAGCAATCACAGAACCAAACTATTTAAATGTCGAGCGAGCAAGCTCATTGGCTGCAGATGCAAGTTGCAACAGAGACCAATTGGCTTGTGTAGTGTATTAAGTGATGTGAAAGCTAGCAGAACTAGATATTTGGCCTTTGAGTCAAAAGGTTGAGTACCACTGTATTAAACATAATGTTTTCTGACAAACAATATTTCTGTGTTCCATATATCATCTCTATAGGTACAGTCTATTGAAGCTAAGCTGGACTCATTACTGGACATCTACCGGCAGGTTCTGCAGAAGGGTTCGTCCTCTGTCCTCACTCTCTCCTCGCTTCCTCCTTTTGGGTTGGAGGAGACCTCAGACTATCAGAGCACCATCCTCAGTAAGGATCTCTCTTGCTCCTCCCAGGTCAGCCAGTCCATCTGTGGCAATCATCCCAGGGCTCTCCAACTAATACTAGCCCCCAGTGAACTCAACATAAACCAGAACAACTCCACAACATCTTCCCCTGGGCTCAATCCAGCCTCTGCCTCGCCCTTTAACCCATCAGCCTTCCAGGTTCCTTCAACCCCATCCATGGAGTGTCCATCAGCACAAGGCAGTCCATCTCAAATCCTCAGCGCCAACAGCTTTCACTCCTCTGTAAGCCACTTTCCATACGTTGGTCAACCAGCTCCACCTCTTCCACCCACAGCCTCTTCAAAACTCTCCACCTTTCCTCCACAACTAGGCCATGCCCGCAGCATGGGTCCCTCTAGGTCAGACCCCACCGACTACGCCAAATCCTACTTCAGAGGAGTTGGGATAGACTTAGGACTTAACTCCGTTTTGGGCTGCAAGCTTCAGCAAAAAAACAGACCAAATGCCAAAGAAGACAGTTCTTGGAGGAGACATATAAGCCTGGATGCAGAGGTGGAGATGGACCCCCTTGTTCCAGTTTCGACTCTTGTCCCGGTACAAGACCAATGCAGTGAAGACAGAGGATTGGGGAAGTCCCTCTCTGTGCAGGACCTCATGCAGCCCGCTCTAGAGGGTCTGGACATGCATTCTAGTCAGGCTAGTTTCTCCACTAGTGTTAGCAGCAGCCAGGACTCTTCAGCTGGGGGCATTGAGATGGGGATAGTGGGCTGGGGAGAAGCTAATCTCTTCATCGGCGATAGAGACTTGGAGGTCTCAAAGACACATACTCAAGGGTTTGACTTTCTTTCTCAGCCCCCAATGGATGCATCCTACTCATCGGAGCTGCTTAGGACCAGTACTACGGCTGGTGCTGGTCACAACCTAACACGTGGACATTCACCCAATACGGACAGCAACGAGACTATGAATATGCCACATGTTCGACTAAAATAACTCAATCTCTAAAGTGTTCTTAGAAACCCCCTCTGGTGGAATGAAACTTTGATACGAGACCTTATTTTATTTTTTAGTTCTTTTGTATTTTTATGAGGAAAAAGTACATTTAGATCATTTTTATACATATTAGTTTGGTTTATTTAAAAGAATCAATTATGATTTTGTATTGGTCACCATACATGACATAGCATTGCATGCATTGTTCTTTTTCAAATGTACTGTAACATTTTTTTATCTAATAGAATGTGGCAAATTAATAATCGACCTGCTGCAATGATCAAAATCATAGATGGCATGAACTATTCACTGGACTGCATGAACACCGTGTGTCATCAGCATACACAAACACATTGTCTCATTACAAAAAGCCTTGTCAACCCGAAATTTACAAGCTGCCTAAAAATAGATAAAAATGATCAGAACATATTTTTCTCTTTCTGAATTTATCATATTGTATTACTAGGTCATTTACTTTTATTGTGTAAAAAAAAAAAAACAATACCAGAAAGTGAAGGAAACTGATGCTGCTGATTTTTTTTTTATAGTTTTGATAAAGCAGATTAAATTTTGAGAGAAGCACCTGATAGTTTCCATACTTAATTAGTTGCTGTTTTTGTAATGAGTTCTGATTACATCGCAGCAGGAGCCCAACTTAATATCCTACCCGTTAGTTTTGTGAATATAAATTATTATTAACAACAATAAAATAATAGAAATTATGAATATTTTAATACATTGTATGTATGTGTGTGATTTATCATAATTCATAATAAATGTTATTTTATTTTGTTGTTAATTATAGATTGTAATATTTACTAATATTTATATTTTTATAGTCATTGTTTTTATCATTTTAGTTGGCATGTGCAACAGCAGTGAATATTTGTGTCAGATCTCTCCAAAATCTGACTTAAATACAATAGCATACATGCCTATACTCATCAAAGATGCTTGTGAAAATATCTTCTCTTGTTGTTATTCCTTTGTCTAGTAATTTAGAAGCAGACATCGGAGTTCAAATGCATTTTATTTTTGGTTATGAACCGACACACATTAGATAATGGAGAATCATATTCTCGTTAAAGTACATGAGTGCAAGTGCAAACAGGATAGCTCATGCTTCTTCGGAGCGCTGTCAGGGTAGACAGTAAAGTGCGCTGGGTACTTTAGCTTCATGCACACAGAAAGACTACAAAAATACTACATTACATCACAACACATCAACAGACTGTTGATCAATCACATCAATCAGAACAGACTAACATATAATCTTTAACCTATTGGACTATATAAGCCATGTCACATAAGCAATCTTAGCAAGAGTCTTCTTAAAGTGCTTATAACAATTTAACAATAGAGCAAATACCACAACGAAGACTACAATTCAAACTGAACGTACAGTTAAACATAAATAATCATAATCATTGTCAAGCAGGCGCAAGTTTTCCTTTTCCTTCTTCTGCTTTTGCGATGCATTGTAATAATTAACCAAACCTTGATTATGGAGTTGAAAAGAGGTGGGATGGTGTGGCTGACCCAAGTGTTAGCAGCCCAGCACAACATTCATTTGTTCTTCTGGGCCTTTTGGGCAGATTTTGTGACCTTCCCGGAGGAAGAAGTCTTCTTCTCAACACCCTTGATGACACCCACTGCTACGGTCTGACGCATGTCACGTACTGCAAAGCGACCTGGGAAATGAAGATCATAAGAAAAACAGAGCTTAGTTATGATTATAAATTTAAGGGTCTTAAATCTCTGTAAGGCCAAAAATCAAGATTCAAATTGCATTTTACGCCTTACATTTACATGCTACAATACTGTAAATATATACAACTTACTGTATATTAATGTATTAACATTTAAATTACATTATAATTTTATGTTCAGCAAATTTCCAGTTCAGGTTCAAGATGGTCATTCAAATCCGCCATACTGACCAACAGAAATTTGATTGGTTTGAAATTAACTTGTGTGAGCTGCTAGTCTGGGTTTCCCCATACTGCCTTACCACAGCGCGATTTAATTCACGCTGAAAGGCAGTCTGGATACCATGGCCAAATTTTTCGCCAATCACAGAATGGGGAGGGAGCAGCAAGACGATGACGACATCTATGCCACACACCGCAGTTTGTTTATATCTATGGATTCAACATGGCAGCAGACGCGAAGCTTTTGATGCAGCCGTAGATATTGTTTTTAAGTAGTTTAGAATGCAAGTTTTTATTTAGAAAAAAGAGCCGCTTTTGGCGTTAAACTTCGCGAGACCCCAGTCGTTATTGTTGTCTTGCCATTAATCGCCCTAATGGAGAACCGGGTACAGGAGGCGGTCAACCTTGGAATATCTGCCGCTCAGCTGTGTCCCGAGAAAGAAAATGCGATAAAGAATTGTCGATACCAACTTCTGTTCGGCAGTCCCGAGGCCTGGATGAGCGCAAAATGGCAAGACATGTTAGCCACGGAGTTGTATAGTACCAACCTGCTAGGCATCGTTGTCTTCGACTAAGTCCATTTAACTTATAAATGGTAAGTGGTATTTATTAATATCATATTGTCATTATGCCTGTTGACTACCTACTGTGGTTGTCACAGTGCCACTAAGTTGTGTTGCTTTTCAATATCAATACAGCTAACGTTACCGCTTTAGTAGGATAACTTTCAGCTGTGCACACATACCCGATTAAAGTTGTTGACACTTTAGTCATTAAATTAAATTTTAATATTTTTTTAACTTGTGAAATACAAGCGCAAACAATTTCCAATGCAAATAACAACTTCAACATCTATGTTAAACTGTACTTAATACTTGTGTTTTTCTAATTGAAACGATTGGCGTACAGGCGCATTTGATAGACATTCTTAGCACCCAATAGGGCATTCGTAAACCACGCCTCAAATACGAGAAATTGTGCATGTGGTTCCCAGACCCACGTCTCAACGAGAATTGGGTCTGGCGTTAGCCAGGCTAGTGAGCTGCGCTCGTTGAATTGATATTATTATAATTATTAAGTATTTTGTAAGAGCTTATTTGGGTGCAATTTTCAATCTAAAAGTCCTTTGCTGTTCCCCTTTCTTCTCTCCTATCACTTCCTGTCTAAACTGTCCTGTCAAATAAAGGATAAAATGCCCAAGGATAAAACTAGTATTAATCCTTTTGTGCCTGCCCTTGAAAGCGTGAAATATTCTTGAAAAATCACTTGGGAAAAAATAAAAGAATCTTTACAGTGGGAGTGACTTGCTAAAACAATGTTTTATAGTAAACATACTAGAGTAATTAGTAACTTTAAATCCAAATTAAGAAATGACCCTTACCAAGAGGAGGATACTCAGAGAAACTCTCCACACACATGGGTTTGCCTGGTATCATATCTACAATAGCAGCATCCCCAGACTTCAGGGACTTGGGATTATCTTCAAGCTTCTTTCCTGAGCGACGGTCAATCTTCTCCTTTAACTCGGCAAACTTACAGGCAATATGAGCAGTGTGGCAGTCGAGAACTGGGGCATAACCAGCACTGATCTGACCTGGATGGTTCAGAATGATCACCTGACCAGAGCAGAAAGTGCACAAGTGAATAGTTTGTAATGACAAACACCCTCTGAATAAAAGTGCAGTTTAAAAAAGATAAACCCTAACAGGCATATTCAGAACTCCCTCTGGGCAAAAAGGATATCATGAATTGTGTCAGTAGGCTTTGTAATTGAAACCCTATAAAAACACATAGCTAAAACCTTTACCTGAGCTGTGAAACCCGCCGCCTCCTGTGGAGGATCGTTCTTGCTGTCACCTGCAACATTTCCACGTCGGATATCTTTGACTGAGACATTCTTCACATTAAATCCCACATTATCACCTGGAAGAGCTTCAGATAGAGCCTCGTGATGCATCTCCACAGATTTGACCTCAGTGGTCACGTTCACGGGTGCAAATGTCACAACCAGACCAGGTTTCAGAATACCTGTCTCTACACGTCCCACAGGCACAGTACCAATTCCTACACAGAAAGAGTGAAAGGGTAAAAGAGGGATGTTTGTTGGAATTATTAACTGGAAATATCAGTCTTTGTGATGTTACTTCTTTTATTTCTAAAAATATCCTTGGGATTATCATACTTAATGTGTATACTGAATACTTTCTTCAATACGCCTTATTCACGGCAGCGCCATCTTTGATTTTTAATGAGAATGAAAGCGAGGCTGTGAGGGATAGTCATGCATCTCTTCAATGGGCTGTACTGTTATTTAATGTGTTTTCGGATTGTTCTGCTCATGAAACACTGAAAAAATATCTTTCCAAGAAATTTCAGTTGACAAAAAACTCCCGACAATGTAAGCTGTGGAAAATTGTATGTATCTAGCAGTTTTATTCAGCTTTTTACAGTGGATGCCATTGGAAACACGGTAAGTCTATCCCTCACAGCCTCACTTTCATACCTGTCATGGCGCTGCTCTGAATAAGGTGTATCCCATCCTTATATACATAGAAAACTATAAGTCATTCATAGGTTACACATCTTTACAAGATAAAGATTAGCTATACTGTGCATATGATCTTAAAGTTTATTTTAAACAAGTGAACTTCTTATTTAGTGTTTTTTTTTTTTAAGTATGGGTGTCCTTATACCTCCTATTTTGTACACATCCTGCAGCGGGAGTCGGAGGGGTTTGTCAGTGGGGCGGGTTGGAGGCTGAATGGCATCCAGAGCCTCCAATAGAGTCGTCCCAGAGCCACTCCCATCCTTACGAGTGATCTTCCAGCCCTTGAACCAGGTCATCTACAGACAACCAAAAACAATCTTACTGACCCCTCCATTGTTTCCTTACAAGAGCTTCCAAATGTTCAATACCTGCTATCAATAATGAATACTAATGTATTAACATATGAACATTTGGAACTTAGGAAACAATGGAGGGGTCAGTAAGAATTTTTAAAAGAAAGTAATGCTTTTAATCAGCAAGGCTGCATTCAATTGATCAATAGTGACAGTGAAGACATTTATAATATTACAAAATATGTCTATTTCAAATAAATGCTGTTCTTTTTAACCTTTTATTCATCAAAGAATCCTGAAAAAACTTATCACATTTTCAACAAAAATATTAAACAGGTTTCAACAGTTTTCATAATTGATAAAAATATTTTTTTGTTCTTGGGCACCAAATCAATGAATAAATCAAGTTTAAATGCAAATGTAGATCAGCATTTTTGTATGATTTCTGAAAGATCATGTGAAACTGATGGAGTAATGAAAATTGCCATAACAGGATTCAAATATAAGACTGTTTTACTGTTTTTGTAAATCAAGTAAATACAGCCTTAGTGAGCACACATATTTCAAATACAATAAAAAATCATATTGACTCATAATGTTTTAATGGTTATGTATGTTGTGAATGCATAACATGCATAATGCATATAATATTAAATCTACAAATAACATAATAAATAAGAGGTTGGCTTGCAAAAACTAAATTATGCCAGTGATTAATTAATTTGTAAAACTACAGTATTGAGTATGTTGATAATATGAAAGATAATAGGGCTGGACGATTTTGGCTAAAATCATAATCACGATTAATCGAACAAGTCACCTCGATTACGATTATTGAACGATTATTTTCATTTTTTTTCTTTCTCATGTGTCACTAGCAAGGCTTATACTGTAAATATGTGTGTATTTTTTTCTAATGAAAGAGTGCATAATCCTATCTTTGAGATTCT